TATTTATGTCAGTAAATAAAAGAATGACAGTAGTTTATGAACTTCTTTAGGGAAAAAATCATGAATTGTTCACCTTGTATTTCTTCAAACTCCTAGAATAATGTGTCACATAAAGGAAAAATCCATAAGCAAATAAATGTGATATAAAGTACAATTTCACTTGTATGCGAAAGTCATGAGTTTTTAGTAGGTTGTTTGCTCTCCTGTTGTTCAATCTGAAAGCCACAACCTAACACAGCTCTAGTTATTAAAGCTAATATGTTACAGAATAAAAGGAATCTACAAACTAATAGCTACATGTTACAATAATGTAAAACCACAAATTAATATAGCCACAGTTCTTGCATCTAATATGTTAACAAAATAACAATCTGTTACAAAATAATAACTGTGTTTTAAAAATAAACAACTCAAGGTGCATGCCTTACTAACCATTTCTTTTTGTTCATTGAGTATATACCTAGGGAGGGGTGAGAGCAAGTTAACTGAATAAACTTTCACTCATTAGAATGGTTAAGGAAATCATCTAATATAATGAAACACAATTTAACTTTTCAAAAGTCATCTAACTTTATTTCTACTTTCTTAGTTCAAAAGCACTGCAGGATCTTGCAATCAGTGATGTAATTGCTTTATGCAGTAATTGCTTCATTCAAAGGGCATCATTATTCCTTTTGAATAAAGATTTATGTATTTATTTGAAAGGTAGAGTGACACAGAGATAGAGATCTTCCACCTACTGATTCCCTCCCCAGAATGGCCACAATGGAAAAGGCTGGGCCAGGCTGAAGCCAAGAGCCAGAAATTCTATCCTCTCGTGAGTGGCAGGGGCTGGACTGGTAGCAAAGCAGCCAAAACTCAAACTGGCACTCCAATAGGAGATGCTGGCATCAAAAAGCGGTGGCTTAGCCCACTGTATGACAATGCTGACTCCTCTCTTTTCTTTCTTACTGTTTATGTAGAAAGTTCAGCAGTTTGATAACATTTACCAAAAAAAGTCATTGATTTATTATTTCCTTGCCATAAGATTTCAAAATTACTCAGAAAAAAATTTTAGTTACCTGAGCTTTTTGGGTTCTAGAACTTTAAGTAAATATACCTTCTGTGTTACATCCAAGGATATATAATGGATGTCTTGTGGGTAGTACAATTATAATTGTCCTCAGAGAATTGTAGAGCAGCTCTTAAAAGAACCAGTGCTAAATTATAGCACTTGGAACCAAAAGAAAATAGGCTGCTGACAGACAGTGTGTTCTTTAGTTTGTTGTGATAATAAAGGCCTCTGTCAGTAAGTGCTGCTGTGTTTAACAAAGTAGTGACAACAGCAGGGAGAATTACTGAACCTTAGGTATTGTTTATGGATGCACAGAAATGTTTATACTCAGGAAGACCTGCTTGGCACATTAGATGAGGGCTGAAAATAAGTAGGAGATGATCAATAAATGACAGTGATTTATAAAGTACTTCTTGGCAATAAGTGATGGTGTGATTGCCCCCGGTGTGTTCAACACAGTTTTGTAGGAGACCATGGATGTGGACTGGGCAACCTGAAATGGGCACAACAGAATGCACCAACAGAGTTTAATCACAGCAGCTGAGATTTGACTGATTGTAGAAGGCCCTCCGGCCAGCTAGCTGATTAGGTTGTAAACAACTGAGTAGTTCAACTGTAACCATTTGACTGGTTAATTGACCATGCTGTAGCCAATTGAATTGTCCTGATTTTCTATAAATGCTGTCAGCTCATGTGGTTGGTAGTTCCTAGAACTTGCTCTGGTTCTGAGAATTACCCAATTCATGAATCATTTTGTTTTGTTTAGATAAATTCTACTGGATTTAATTAACCTAGGAATTTTCCTTTAAACTGGTGAAGCTAAACAATAAGTATGAGGCATTGCTCTCTGCCAGAGGACAATATGTAAAATGACTGTTCCATAAATGATTATTGTATATTTTGACTCTTTGGTTAACTGCTTTGTGTACTACTCAGAACAAAGTTTAATTTGTACTGGGACAGGGTGTTACACAGGAGTTCAAACCTAGTCCCGAGGTTCTGAACTCGTATTTGTGCCTATGGCTGTGGAAGAAAAATGAAACTATTAGGAATTGGAGGAAATATATTAGCTTCAAACCACTTCATTGGCTGAATCAGATTCCTCAAGCGGGGCTCCACTGATACTTTAGGTTGGAAAATTCTTTATTGTAGGGGTTGTCCCATGCACTGGAAGTCATTTAGCAGACTGCTTGCCTCTGCCTTCTAGCTGTCAGCGCTTTTCTTTCCTTGTGAAAACCAAAAATGTCTTGGCATCGTCAAAGGTCTTCTGAGAGGTAAATCACTACCATCACCACCACTCACTATTGGGAACTACTGGGTTAAATCAATAGTCATTGGTCTACAGTTTGTTTAGTTGGATGATTTCACCTGTTATTTTGACTACTTTACAGATCACAAGTTTTGTGGAATCCAAATAAATTCTCTTCTGAGACATAATTAGGGAAGGTCATTATATTTCTCAAATTCTATATCTATTGCAATGTTTTCTTTAGCTTCAGAATTAAATTCTTCTTTGAATTAAACATTTGGCTTTAAAAGGTAATCAAGGGCTGTAAATCCTACATATGCAACCTATTACCTGTTCAAAATATTTACCTGGCCAGAAATATTATAAGTCATCATTAGGAAGGAATCGTGGAGTGGTTGTCCAATCCCTGTATCTTGTCCTCAGTTTAGTAAACTAACGAATTCAGGTTTTAAATCCATTTAAAGGGGAGCAGGCATGTGGCAAGGCAATTAAGACACAGCTTGGGGCCCCCACACCCAGTATCAAAATGTGTGGGTTTGAGTTTGACTTCACTCTGATTCCAGCCTCTTAACAATGTGTACCCTGGGAGGCAGCAGTGATGACTGAAGTACTTGGGTCTCTGCCACACACATGGAAGACCTGGATGGAGTTCCTGACTCCAGGTTTCAGCCTGGCCCAGCTCTGGATGTTGTGGGTATTTGGGGAGTGAATGAGCAGCTGAAAGAGCTGTCTCTGTGTCTCTTTCTGTCAAATACATATAAATATATAAAATAAATTTAAGTATTTGAAGGCAATTGCGCTCCAAAGAACTGATGTGCATTAGCCAAATTCACAGAATACTGATTTAACAACATGAATATACAGCTTATAAAAATAAATATAGCCACCAAGAATGATTATTCATTTATACTAAGTGCCGCTTTTGAGCACTTTAGATGGATTATCTCCAGCAGTGCATCGGTTCTATCATCTTCTGACTGGAGAAGCATCTAAGCTTAGCAAATTTAGGTCTCACTGCTAATAAGAGAATTCAAATTCAAGTAGACTCCAAAGACTATACTCTTTAACAATGGGAGGATTAGATTCTTAAGTTCTCTGATCAACTTACCACATCTACTGCTTTATTTTTTTAGAATAAAAATATGCCTTGTAGAAAATTCAGAATGTCCAGGGTAGTATTTGTACACTAGTCAGACATGTTAGTGTATGTTTAAAAAAAAAGACCTATTTATTTATTTGAAAGAGTGATAGGGAAAGATAGAAAGAGGGAGATCATCCATCTGCTGGCTCATTTCCTAAGTGGCCTCAACAACAAGGGCTGAGCCAGCCAAAGTCAGGAGCCAGGGTCTCCCATGGAGGTGGAAGGGTTCCAAGCACATGAGCCACCTTCTGCTACTTTTCCCAGGCCATTAGCAGGGAGCTGGATTGGAGGAGCAACTGGGACTCAAAACAGCACCTGTATGGGACGCTGGCTTCGTGAGTGAGGACTTTCCATGCTACACCATTATGTTGGCCCCATGTTAGTGTATTTCATTCACTCTTTAACATGTATTGGACAAGCATAACTGACTTCATACTACACACACATTGATAAATATTTTTAAATATTTAAAATGCTTCTTTATCATGATTTCCTCAAATTATCAGAATTCTTTGTAAAGGTAAATTTAATGGTTTGACACAAATATATAGTCATCTTTTTTTTTTTTTTACTATTTTCTTATTGTATTTTAGAATGTTGTCAATTTTAAAACACAAATATTGTCATGGTAAATATATTTCCATTATGCGTAAACCTTTGTTTTCTGGAGTAACTCCTTATACATTCCAAAAGGAAAATTATAGAATTAGGTCATGTGAACATTTAAAGGGTCTTGATATGATTTGACAGATAACTTTCCTAACTGGGGTAGGGGGATGCTGTGGTGTAGTGGGTTAAGCTGCTACTTGGGAAACTCATATCCCGTGTCAGAGTACCGATTTGATTCCTGGCTGCTGCACTTCCCATCCAGCTCCCTGCTAACGCACCCGGGAAGCAGGTGAAGATAACTCAAGTGCTTGGGTCCCTGGCACCATATGGAGACCTGGTGGAATTTCTGGCTCCTGGCTTTGACTTGGCCCAGCCCTGGCTTTTGTGGCCATTTGAAGACTGAACCAGAGGATGCAAGATCTGTCACTTGCCTTTCAAGTAAACAAATCTTGTAAAAAATCCTAACTTGGTCTAATTTATATCCCCATCAGAGTGTGAGTGTTCACCCTACTCTCGCTGATGGAGTTTGTTCACACTCCAAACTGGCTAAACTGGATCCATGGGACCTGTCATTTTTTGTCTTTATGTGATTAATGAGTTTGAACACTACAATAACTTAGTAAAACGTTTAACTGTTGTATTTGTGGATTCAGCGTTCACGTACACACGTTTTTCCTTTGCCGGGTTAGGGTCTCGGTGTCTCGCCTACTCCTGCTCTCGGTCCTTGCGCTGCTCCAGACTTCTGTCCAGGCTGCACTGGACCCGACAGTGGCTGCACGAGGCCGTGCCCCTCGGGTTGTGTGTGTCAGCCGCGGAAATGCTTCCTGGACTTACTGAGAAGGCCAGCAAACGCAAAGCAGATGCCCAGTACAGTTCCGGGCAGTCAACACTTTACACCTGGACTACAGCCAGGCCACCCCCCCTTCCAGTGCAGGAAGCCCGAGATTCGAGATTCTTTCCGAACGATGGAAAACCGCAGATTGGAAGCTCGACTCTCCCATCCTTCACCACAAACCCCACGTGTCTGGAATATTCTTGAGATAGTATGATTCCTGTCATTTTTGGAAAAGCGGACGTGGGCCTGAGCTTGTTGAAACGCGGGCTTTCACGTTCGCGGCGGTGCGGCCGCTCGCTCGGATGCGCGCAGGGGCCTCGGCCCCGGGCACGCGCTCGCGGCAGAAACAGCGACGCTCGGCCACACACACACTCGGGCCGCTTCTGACAGAAGTCAGCGTTTGTTTCCAGTCAGCGCAGTTGTTCTCCGGCCGCTGACTGAAACGCAGAACGGCCGCGGCGACGGCAGGGTGAGCACCGGACCGGACCGGATCGGACCGGAGAAGGCCAGTCGGCACCGGGGCCGACCGGCCCGCCCACTGCAGCGCTGAGTCGGCGACGGGCAGGGGTCGCCGGACGCGGACGAGCGTCACCCCTCCTCACGATCTGAGCCCGAAACGCGCGGCGCCCACCCCAGGGCCTGGTCAGGCACTTCCGGCGCGGACCGCATCGCAGCGCGCAGGCGCCCGGGACCGCGCGGGCGGGGGGCGTGTGCGCCGCGCGGCCTCTCCTGCGCCTGCGCGGGCCGCGCCGCTCGGGTCGGCGGGGGCAGACCCTGCGCCGACGTCGCGCACTGCCGCGGCTCCGGCCGGGGTCGCTCTCGCTGCCCAGCGCGGCGTCCGCGGCGAGGCCCCGAGCTCCGCAGGGCTGTGGGGAGGTAAGTGGCCGCCGGGGCCTCGCCTCAGCCCTGCCGCGCTCCCTCACCAGAGCCGCCGGCTCGGGGCCCGCACTCGACCCCCGCAGCAAGGGGCAGGCCGGCCGGGAGCTGAGGGCCGCAGGGCCGCCGCGCAGTCCGCTCGGGGGTCCCGCCCTGGGGCCGCCGCGGGGCTGACCTTCCTGGCGGCCAGCGCCTTTGTGGGCCCGGGTCCCTCGCGGGCCGGCGCCGGGACGCGCCCGCGGGCCGCGCGCCAGCCCTCGCCTTCGCGAAGCCAAGTTGGTCTCTGACGGGCGCCGGCGATGCGGTGCGGGGTTCGCCGCCGCCGGGCGTCCGGCCGAGGTGCGGTGGCTGGCTGCGGTGGAGCTGTGTGGAGTGGTCCCCGCGCTGCTTCCTTCACTGCCTCCGTGCCTTTGCTGAATTAAGAGGACGGGGTTTCGTGTATAGGTAGTGGCATTGGGTGTTTTCTTGCTGAAGTTTGCATTTCAGATAGTTTCCCAAGTTCTAAATAAGCTTCGTAGGCATAACTTTGGCTTTTGGAGTACACGAGCACAACGGAGTTGGAAACGGTGAAATTGCGATGGAAGCCAAGTTCCCGTCGATCTGTGGGCCCCAGACGCAGGGAAAAGTGATGGGCTAGGATAGTGCCACAGTCCACTGAACATTATGACTGGGGGGAGTCACGCTTAAAAATGAACGGCCCCAGAGAGTTTTTGTTCATTAATGCAGTATATTTACCATTTTGGAAATGAAAGCGCAGAACATAATTAACTTGTTCATTTAAAAGTAGCAAGCTCCGCTGTAAGGAAAAGTTAAGTGTTTGAAGAGAAATTGGCTTTGCCTGGACATTGCAAACATTTGCATATATATGGAAACACTGCTTGGTATGCCATTGGTCTGTTGTTTTTGAGTATAAAAGATTTATTTATTTATTCGAAAGAGTTACAGAGTGAGGAGAGGCAGAGAGAGAGAGAGAGAGAGAGAGGTCTTCCATAAGCTGGTTCACTCCCCAGATGGCTGCAGCGGCCAGTGCTGCGGCGATTGGAAGCCAGGAGCCAAGAGCTTCTTCCAGGTCTCCCACGTGGGTGCAGGGCCCAAGGACTTGAGCCATCTTCCACTGCTATCCCAGGCCACAGCAGAGAGCTGGATGGGAAGAGGAGCAGCCGGGACTAGAACCAGTGCCCATATGGGATGCCTGCACTTCAGGCCAGGGCGTTAACCCGCTGTGCTACAGCGCCGGCCCCTGAGTATTAAACTTCTAAAGAGAGTTAGTGGATCAAGTTATTAGGAATTTTTTGAGGCTGTTGATATAAAATATACATATATATATTTCTAGCCATATTATTTTCTTTAGAGATTGTACCAGTGTACTTTTTGTCATCACATCTTTGCCAACATTTAATACTTTTATTATTTAAAAAAGTAGTTTTCACTTAGTAAGCACCAAAAAAAATGTGGAGCATTACTTTGTTAGTTCATTGAGCATTTTAGTGTAATATTACAGTTCTCTGTTGATATTATTTGCCCAATTATAGTACAATGCCCAAGTGTCTTTATAACAGATTTTTAGGAAAAGAACACAATTATTTTTTCCTGTTTACCAAAGTATTGCTTGTAAGAAAATGAAATGTCAGAGACATAGAGTGTAGCTATGAAATGCTTACATAATCCCATGTCCAGATTTATGGAATTATTGACAAATGTTCCTCATATTTCCCCATGTGTCTTTGCTAGTGCAATTTTTTTTTAACAATTCATTTGTAATAAGGGGCTTATAATATGCAGAAACTTTGCTGTTTGATTTTCGTTCATTTAACATTGTAGGTTGGATATTTTTCCTCAGCAGTACGTTTAACTGTGTGGCAGAGTTTTACCCAGAGTGGTTTTGGGCACGGGGACCGTGATCTTCAGTTCCCTGATGTCAGGTCTGTGTCCTCTCTTCTGGGTGGTCTCATCCCACAGCTTAGGGTGCTGGTTTCTAAATCTCTGTCTCAGGCGGCTCTCCTGCATTCCGATCCTTGCCCTAGAAGGATGTTCTCGAGGTTGTTCAGGCAAACAGCAGTCCAGGAGTGGGCGCGTGCTTGACTTCATCCCTCTGCTCTTGGTGTTGCCTGTCATAGCCAGTGGCACCACCGTCTGTTTTCAAGATGGAAACCTGGCAGTTACCCTCATCTTCACTCTCACGCTCCATAAAATCTCATTCTTGAGCCTCTTGTACATCTTTCTCTCTTCATCTCCACTGTGTTGTCTCGAATTCTTGTCTTCTCTCATCCTAACCATGTTAGGAGTCTACTTGTCATTTCTGATCAGTTTTTCCTATAACTGCTCTTTGTTTTAAATCCTGAAGGATTTTTTATACGGTAAATAATGTAAAGATTTGTTTGGAGGAGCAGGCATTTACCCCAGCATTTTGCATGCTCACGTTCCACGTTAGAGTGGCTGCATTTGTTTCCTGTCTCTGACTCCTGACTTCAGCTCCTGCTAATTTTGGGAGGCAGTGGTGATAGTTCCAGTGTTTGGGTTTCCGCCACTCTGATGGGAAACCTGGATTGATTTCTTGGCTTCTGCCATGGCTGTTGTGAGCATTTGTGGAGTGAACCAAAAGATAGGAGCTTTCTCCATTTCTCTCTCTCCCTCTACCTTCTTCTCTTCCTCTGTGCCTCACAAAAAAATTGTTTAAGAAATCCGAGAGTACATAATGGCCAAGTGAGTGAAAGTTCCCCAAACAGGCTATTCTGTGTATGCATATATAAACTTCGTTAGAACAATCTTACATTTGTTTTTTAAGTAATTGATTAATTTGAAAGGCAGAATGACAGAGGGGGAGAGAGAATGAGAATGATCTGTGGTCCACTGCTTTATTCTCTAAATGGCTGCAACAGGCAGGTCTGGGCCAGGTCAAGGCCAGTATGAACTCTATCCACGTCCTCTGCATGGGTAGAAGGGGGCACAGGTTGGGACCGGCTTGTGGCGTTGTGGTAAGGATACCGCCTGCAGTGCCAGCATCCCATATGGGAGTCGGTTCAAGTCCTGGCTGTTCCACTTCCAATCCAGCTCTCTGCTATGGCCTGGAAAAGCAGTGTAAGATGGCCCAAGTCCTTGGGCCTCTGCACCCACATGGGAAACCTGGAAGAAGCTCCTGGCTCCTGGCTTTAGATCTACGCAGCTCTGGCCGTTGCGGCCAATTGGGGAATGAACCAGCGGATGGAAGACTCTCTTTCTGCCTCTCCTTCTGTCTCTAACTCTTTCAAATAAATAAATCTTTAAAAAAAATAGAAGAAAGGGCACAAGTACATGTGCTGTCTACCGCTGCCTTCCCAGTGCGTTAGCAGGAAGCTGGATTATAAGAGAAGCAGCCAGGATATGACTAGGGACTCCCCTACAGGATGTGATTGTTACAAGTGGCAGTTTTAACCCACTTATGTTTCTTTTATGTCTTCTACTATAGGTGATAGTTCGCTGGCACTAAATGTATAGTTGGTTGTTTGAAATGAGAAGTATATGCAGCTTTTTAAGATTTAATGTTAAAAACTCAGCATACAGCATTTACATTGTTTTATTTTTTTATTTATTTATTTTTTTTGACAGGCAGAGTGGACAGTGAGAGAGAGAGACAGAGAGAAAGGTCTTCCTTTGCCGTTGGTTCACCCTCCAATGGCCGCTGCGGCCAGCCTACTGCGCTGATCCAATGGCGGGAGCCAGGTACTTATCCTGGTCTCCCATGGGGTGCAGGGCCCAAGCACTTGGGCCATCCTCCACTGCACTCCCGGGCCACAGCAGAGAGCTGGCCTGGAAGAGGGGCAACCGGGACAGAATCCAGTGCCCTGACCGGGACTAGAACCCGGTGTGCCGGTGCCGCAAGGCGGAGGATTAGCCTAGTGAGCCGCAGCGCCGGCCTGTTTTATTTTTTAAAGATTTATTTATTTATTTAAAAGGTAGAGTTACAGAGAGGCAGAGGCAAAGAGAGAGACACAGAGAGAGGTCTTCCGTCCGCTGGTTCACTCTCCAGTTGGCTACACGGCTGGAGCTGCGCCGATCTGAACCCAGGAGCCAGCAACTTCTTCCCGGTCTCCCACGCAGGTGCAGGGGTCCCAAGTCTGGGCCATTTTGTGCTGTTTTCCCAGGCCACAGCAGAGAGCTGGATTGAAAGTGGACCAGCTGGGACTCGAACTGGTGCCCATATGGGATGCCAGTATTGCAGGAGGTGGTTTTACCCACTATGCCACAGCACTGGCCCCACTGTTTAATTTTTTAAAATAAGAAGGATATAAAAGCTTATCTTTCTTTTTTTAGGCATCTTAAATAACATAATGCAAAGTGGTTGTTTGGCCTAGTGGTTACATACCAGAAAGGATGCCTACGTTCTACATGGGGGTGCAGGGGTTCATTTCCTGGCTCCAGCTCCTGATTCCATCTGCCTGCTAATGTGAACCTGGGGAGGCAGCAATGATGGCTCAAGTTGTTGGGTTCTGCCATTTACATGGGAGACCTGGACTGAGTTCTTGACAAGCATGAGCTCTCTGGCCTCTCTGCCTCTCAAACAAATAATTTTTTTTATTTTTTTGACAGGCAGAGTAGACAGTGAGAGAGAGAGAC